TATTATTATTATTATTATTATTATTATTACTCTTGATACTATTATTATAGAGACTTCAGAGATAGTAAACAAAAATCTATACTAAGACAAACACTTGATGATGTTAATTAGGAAACTTCATCGTATCACTGTCATAATCTTTCATAAATAACTTGATGTCTTCAATATTTTCACTGATGTGATGCAAATTACTGCCAAAACTTTAGCAATCCCTTAGGAATTAAAATTCCTAGTCAACTTCCATTCATCCTCGCACTTTTCTCAAGTCAGAGCAGCCAACACTGCCCCGCTAGTGAGAGGTTTGCAGGAGTTGTGCTTTATTGGTTAGGGTGGGAGGCTGGAGGAGTGCTCAGTTCCCAAGTGTTCGCCAAAACTTGTTGAAACTGGACAAAAAAAAAAAAAAAAAATCGCTGCATTTAATATTTCAAATGGTTACCAGATGACAAAAAGGAAGGCAAAACAGTTCTGCATTTCAGAGTAAATATTGGCTAAAACTCTGGCTCGACCTCTCACGTTTTTCTCATTTGCACTGCGCCGTCGGCGGAGCAGGAGGGTGAGGATGTCCCCTTGCCCAAACTGTTGGGATGTCGGGCGCTATTGTGGGGTACCAGTTCCCCTCCGGCGTGGCGCCGGGCTGCAATGGGACCCGCCCCCCTTCCCTAAAGGCTCGCTCCCGCAGCGTGTCCAAGGTGCGCCGGCTGAGCGGGGCCGGAGCAGCCGCCGCCCCGCGGGACCCCGGCGCCCCCGGGCGGGGTTGCGAAGCAGACCGAGTGGGCGGCAGCAGGCACGGCGTGTGCCCCGCCGCCACCGGCTTGTCACGCAACCTGTACTTTCCGCGGCCGCCCAGGGCGGAGGGAGAGTTCCCCGGGAAGTGATCGCTGCAGAAATAAAGTTCCTCGTCTCCGGGTGGAGGGAGCCCCGAGACAAGCCCGACCAACGGGCTGGACTTCCCGGGGCTGAGGGATGGTGCGTGACAAAGGAGTGACGGGAAAAGGGTCGGCGAGAAGCCCACGCCAGTCCCCATCGGTCGGCTCTCTGCAGGCGCTCGGGGCTGGCACACTGAGTTTTGCTCGGGTCAGAGGTCACCTTCGGATATATCACCCTGGGCAGGGTGATGGGAGCTTTCCCCCTTCCCCAGCCGGCTTCAGACGCTGGACGGCCCTTCGAGGCTGGGACCGGGGTCGCAGCCCCTCCCCGGGCTCTGCGGGAAGCGGGCGGCAGCACCCAGTTCCCTGAGCGGCCCCCCCGGTTCTGCCGGAGGGGGGGCGGGGATAGGCCGGAGGGGGCCTGCCGAGCTCCCGGGCTCCGTCCCTGCCGCCTCCGCCTATAAAGAAGGGCCTGCGGTACCGGAGAGCCGGGTCCCCCGGAGCGCCCTCGTGGCACCGGGCGCGGCCGTGGGAGAGGTTTGGGCGGGGAGCGCGTCCCCCGGGACGCCTCCCCACGGGGCTTGCCATTGTCAGCGCTCGCCCGCCTCTGCACGCCGCCCCGAGTTTCTGGTCCTGTCTGGGCGGCCGCGGGACCCGTCCGGTCCCGGTGCTTGCCCGTCCGAAGCGAGCCCGGCCGCTGTCGGGGTCGGGAGCGCCTGAGCCCCGCTCTGCGCCCCCCGCTGCCCTTTTCCGCGATCCTCCGCCGCTCTACAATGCACCGACCTCCGGGCCGAGCCTCCCTTTGCATTTAGAAGGGTGGGCGCGGCTCCCGGCGTCCGGCAGTAGGTGTCGGACCCCCTTCGGTGCTTCCCGGGCTCTTGGCCCTCCGCCCGACCCCGCCCGCTGAGGTGCCGCCGGGACCCTGCTCCACGTGGGCGAGGGGCAGCCGAGGCACTGCCCCCCCGCACCGCAAGGTTCCAGCGCTTCTTCCCGGGGTGGCCAAGCCTCCTCCCGACGACCCCCCCCGACGACAGGGAGCTATCGTCCAGTTCTTGGGGCAGGCGGGGGTGGTTAGCCTGCTACCCGGACTGCACAGGCACCCCCTACACCCAGGCACTTACCCCTGCGACCTGTTGAAGGTTTCCCTTCTTTTCTGAACTGGCAAAAATAAAACTGGGGGTGGAGGGTAAGGGAAAAGAAAGAAAGAATGAAAGAAAGAAGAAAACAATAATCCCCCCCCCAAGAACCCACCACCTCTTTGGCTCTTCCATCGAGGCGGTCATCCTTCATTTCTTCTTTTCTTGCTTTCTGGAAGCAGTTAGGGAATGTATGATGAAGCAGAAATGAGCCGTCAGGATGATATTTTAATGGCTTATATGTCACGTTGGTGCATGTGGCTTTGAACTGGAGCAGCTTTCGTTTCCTGCAGAGAGCGCACCGCAAATCCCACTTGATAACTTCTACAACCCACAACATTTTTTTTTTTTTTTTTTACATTCACTCTTACGCTGTATATTTAGATACGCTTCCTAAAAATACCTTCTCGTCTGCCTTCTCGTATATTTTGCACCGACCCGGAATGATCACTGGTCTCCCCTTGCACTGGGAGGCAGGCTAGCACTGAACTACCTAACTTTCTAGCTCTCCGAATGCCACAGCCCAGCACACTTCACAATAACGCTGACGACTCTGTCCTCCGCTTAATTTTAGCACCAAATACAGAAAGTAGTGCAGCACCCGCTTTAAGACCGTGTCCACACCCAGGCGCTCCCTAGAGCGGGTATACCTGTTGCTATAAGCTATTGCAATTCCATCAAATAGATTTCGTAGAATAAATGCAAACGTGTAGATTCAGCTCACCATTATTCTAAAAAAATCTACAACCCCACCAAATCCTGCAAAGCCTCCCAAGATCCAAGGAAAATTACATAATAGATCTTCTTTGAAAGCTATCTCCACACACCGAGCAGAGGCACCATGCGTCTGCAGATAAACTGCAGTGAAACATTCCATCAAGGCGTATCAAAGTTTATTTATTGTCGTTGATGTTTGTTTGTTTGTTTTCTAGCCGCAATGGCTATTTTATACCTCTCAAAATGAGGCAGTTCTCACCCGAGAAGGGTTCTCGCAGCAGCGCTGCTGGTCCGACTCCCCAGTACCTGCGCTGCGGATTGCTTACCAGCGGCTTTAATTAGAGAGGATGAGTTTAAAGTTTCTTTGTTTGGTACTAGGAATTGGAGGGGCTCGGATTGAGCTGCGAAGGAGGCAAGTGAAGGGCTGAACAAAGGCGAAATGTATGGAGTCTGACTCTTAGCGAGCTTTTGGTGTTTTCGTTACTAGAAAATAATTAGAGCTAATGAATATGCAGGCGACTGAGTAAATAAATAATTTGCCAGTTTTATATATGTACGCACATGGGCACATATGTAAGTGTATCTATACATACACACACAAAGACGTCTATATTTTAAAGTTTCTTGAGATCTTTCCTTTTTTTTGTTTTTTTTTACGAGCCGAAGCATCGTTTAAAATATTGTACAAATGTTGCTTAGCTTAATTGATTAAGCCACAAAGGTTTTCTGCTTTTAAATACCATACTTATACCTTTCAACAATCATTTTAATATATAGTCAATGGCTCTTTGTAGCGGGAACAAAAAAGAACTATCCACAGTTTTTCAATAGACTTTGAGCTGGGGAAAGACAGGTTAATCGAGGGTTGCATCTAGAAAACAACCAAGTGTTGTATGTTTGCACTGAATCCAAATGTCTGCATTTTTCTAACTAAATCAAAGGGAGTGTTATTTCTTTTTCTGCTCACTCATCTGAAGGTAAGTAAATTTTCTCTGGCGATCAAAAGCCTGGTCAGCAACAAAGACACCGCCTGCTTTTTCCACCGTCCTGGTGTGGCAAGTTGAGGAATTTCAATAACTGTGACAAGGGTGACTGATTTGTGAACTAGAAAAGGTTTGAATGTCAGAAAATTTACATTGCTCCTATCGAGGATTTAAAATAAATTTTTACAAAAAAAAAAAAAAAGAGAGAGAGAGAGAGAGAAAGAGAGGGAGAGAAAAGTAATCGTGAGTTACATGCAGTAGGAGGAGAAATAATGTAGGTTTGGAAAATTTACAGTTTTACCTGAATGAGAGAGACTCCGTAAAAGACAGAGCAAGCGACAGTGAGAGAAAATGAGAGCGAGAGAGAAAAGAGAAGGAAAATAATAAAAAAAGAAGGCGAAACAACAACAACAAAATTAGAAAGTTAAGAGTGCTCACCCACCTGCGTTTTGATGGGTGCAGAAAACAAGATTTATTTCAGAAACCTGATGGAGGGATAGAGTCAGCTACACAGAGAAATCACGCCTGGTGTTTAAAAATAAAATCAAGTGCACTCAGCACGTACTCTCGGAGAGCTTCAGTTTTAAATAAGAAGAAAACACCTTCAAAAGACACGAATCCCTATAGGGCTTCTCTTTCCAAAGCCTAAAAAGTTGCTCAGTGATCTTAAAAATTCAAGATCACCACGAAATCATCATAACCATTATCAGAATGCTGGAGACAGAGGGACAGAGACAGGGAGAGAGGGGAACAAAATAACCCTAATAATAATAGCAGATATATATATATATATATATTTTCCTTAGCATACACATACACACAAAAAGATGCGCTGGAAATATTTTGGTGGGGGCAAAAAAAAAAAAAAAGCGAAAGCAAAAAAAAAAAAAAAGTTGGGGCTGCCGCAGCCCCGTTTGTCAGAGCGGTGTCAGGACGCCACAATACCTGCGATGGATGAGGCGGCGCGGCCAATCAGCGGCCGCAGCCGGCGGGGCCGGGGGCAGCGACGCGGGGAAGGGGGAGCCGCAGCCGGCCAATGCGCGCCCACGTCCGCCCGCACGGCGCTCCGCCCCCGGCTCCCATTCATCAAGGGGGGGGACGGTGTCGTCTTTTCAATTCATTTATCTGCAGGAATGATTGCCGCTATCAGTCTCGCGTTCACCGCCCGGCTGAGGAGGTGAAAGTTTCTCCCCAGGAAGATAAACCGCAAAAGACAATATTGTGTATGATTTGCGCCTTTTTTTTGCGGAGCGAAAAAAAAAAAAAAAAAGGCCCCCCGAAAAAAAAAATCGGGTGAGTGTGGGGAAGCTCGAAGAGGAGAGAGAAACAATCTCTCGGCCACTTTGCAACATTCCTATAGCCAAAAAAATCACTGAAGGAAGTTTCTTTTTTGTTTTGGTTTTTTAATTTTTTTTTTTTCTGCTTGTGTTGAACTCTCGCCGTTATTGTTATTTGCAGTCAGTTTATTTTTGAGCTCACCCAACCCCCCTTTCCCCACTTAAACCTCCCTGAAAAGTCAAAGCAGAGAGACAGTGAATATTTTTGGGGCACATTTTTATTATTATTATTATTATTTGCGACTGCGAAGATCTCTTCCCCCCTTCCGCACCAGCCTTTTTTTTTTTTTCTTCCCCCTTTTTTTTCCTTCCCCCTGCGCTGATGCCGAAGGGGGTGTTTTTGATGTGGTTGCTTTGGTGGTGATCGTCGCTGACTTTCCAAAGAGGGTGTTTTCGCTGCCGCCGCTGCTGCTGCTGCTTCTCTCCGCGTTGTGTGTGTGCGCGCGTGATTTTTTTTTGGTTGCTGCATCGACGCTGGGAAGATGCTTCTGGATGCTGGACCGCAGTATCCCGCCATAGGAGTCACTACCTTCGGATCCTCTCGCCACCACTCCACGGCCGATGTCACGGACAGAGAAGTGGGGCTGGGGATCAACCCCTTCGCCGACGGCATGGGCGCCTTCAAAATCAACCCCAGCACCCACGAGCTGGCCTCGGCCGGCCAGACCGCCTTCACCTCGCAGGCGCCCGGCTACGCGGCGGCGGCCCTGGGGCACCACCACCACCCGACCCATGTCAGCTCCTATTCCAGCGCCGCCTTCAACTCCACCCGGGACTTTCTGTTCCGCAACCGCGGCTTCGGGGAGGCGGCGGCCGCCAGCGCCCAGCACAGCCTCTTCGCCTCCGCTGCCGGCAGCTTCGCCGGACCCCACGGACACACAGATGCCGCGGGACACATACTTTTCCCGGGGCTGCACGAGCAAGCCACCAGCCACGCTTCACCTAACGTGGTGAACGGGCAGATGCGCCTGGGCTTCTCCGGAGACATGTACGGCAGACCCGACCAGTACGGCCAGGTCACCAGCCCCCGCTCCGAGCACTACGCCTCGACCCAGCTGCACGGCTACGGCCACATGAACATGAACATGGCAGCCCACCACGGGGCAGGGGCCTTCTTTCGTTACATGAGGCAGCCCATCAAACAGGAACTCATCTGTAAGTGGATTGAGCCCGAGCAATTGTCAAACCCCAAAAAGTCCTGCAACAAAACTTTCAGCACGATGCACGAGCTGGTGACTCATGTCACGGTGGAGCACGTTGGAGGACCGGAGCAGTCCAATCACATATGTTTCTGGGAAGAGTGTCCAAGAGAGGGGAAACCTTTCAAGGCCAAATATAAACTTGTAAATCACATCAGAGTCCACACAGGTGAAAAACCTTTCCCCTGCCCTTTCCCAGGCTGTGGCAAAGTGTTTGCCAGATCAGAGAATCTCAAAATACACAAAAGAACTCATACAGGTACGGTAACATTCTCTGTCGCTTTTCTCTCTGCGAGTGGAAGCGCCGAGCGCCGGGGCCGGAGCGGGACGCGGGGCCGTGCCGGAGGGGTCGGGGGGCCGGCTTGGCTGAGGCTCGCACGGGGAGGAGGGGGTTTGGTCCAGGGACCGCTGCTTTTTTTCCGGGAGAGGCCGGCTCGGAGCTCCGCTGCAAAACGAGCTCGGTCACAGCCACGCCAGCAGCAGCAACAAAAAGAAAATGATCCCTGCCGAGGCAGAGGGGGAGGACGGCAGGGTTTGCTGCTGGGATTGTTAGGGCGGAGGGGGTGGGGTGGGGGATCGCAGCAACCTGTCCTGTTTAAATTTATAGGTTTTAATTAATTATTGTTCGGCAGTTTTGGCTGTGGCACGATGAGAAATTGTGCTAAATGTTGCGGGCAGCTCATTCGTCTCCTCTCTGCAATTCAGGGCTTGGTAAATATTTAATTCCGTTGAGCGATATTAAACAAACCGAGCCCGGCGCGTTACTGTGTTATTGTTGTGCGGAGGGGAGGCGCCGGTATTCCTGAGAACTTTTTCCTTCGTGGGAGGTGGGAATGCAGCAGCCTCTGGCCGGGAGAGCGATCTCCCCTTGCTCTCACCCCCGAACGCTGAAAGCCAGAGCCGCTTCCCTTAGCACTTTTGCCGAGGGTTTGTGGAGCTGCCCTCTCGTTGATTTCCCGGGCCGGATAATTTTCAATATTGCAAGAAAATATGGGAGAGGGGGCTGGGGTGGGTGAGAGAGTAAAATATTACGAGAACGAGATATAAAATCGGAAAGCAAACGCTGAGGATCGTGTGTAATATCGCACCACGCCTGCTCTCTCGCTCGGAGCGTTGTGAAGAGGGAGAGGTGCCCGGGACTGGGGTTGAAAGGAAATTCGCCCCTCCAAAAGGAAGGGGAAAAAAAAAAAAAAAAAAAAAGTTATGTAGCTCCCCCGCTCTCCGAAACTGGCACTTGGTGGGAGTCGGAGGTCCTGAAAGGATAGAGACTAGAAGCAAGGTTTTGGGATTTGAGGCTCGCTGAAGTTAGAAAGTTGCAAGTGTTTGAAATGGAGCCCTGAGCTCCGTCCGGCGGTGCGGTGACAATGAGGGATCCAGCCGGGCCCTGCTTAATCAGATCCCTTTCCCCCCCCTCCCCCTTCCCTCTGCAATAGGTGAAAAACCATTTAAGTGTGAGTTCGAGGGCTGTGACAGGCGCTTTGCAAACAGCAGCGACCGCAAAAAGCACATGCATGTGCACACTTCCGACAAGCCCTATCTCTGCAAAATGTGCGACAAGTCCTACACGCACCCCAGCTCCCTCCGAAAGCACATGAAGGTAAATGGAGGGCGCCTGGCGTGCGGGCCTGCCCGGGCGGAGGGCGGCGGGGCCCCGGCTCCGGGCCCGCCGGGCCGCGCTCGGCCCCCAGCCCCACCGGGCCGCGCTCGGCCCCGGGCCCGGCCCCGCCGCGGGGCCTTCGCTCGGTGCGCTTCACCCGGGGAGGGGCAGGGAGGCAGCGCCAGGACGCAGCCGGGGGCGCAGTCCGGCCTTGCCCAGCGGGCAGGGACCGGGGCTGGAGCCGGGACCGCCGGGGAGCCCCGCAGGAGAGCCCGAGCCTGGGGCCCGCTGCCGGGTCCCGTTGTCTGGCGAGTCCCCAGGCCGAGGCCTCCGTCCGCCGCCGCTCTCTATCTCTGCCCGGGTTTTCTCTTGCAGGTCCATGAATCATCCTCGCAGGGGTCCCAGCCTTCTCCCGCCGCCAGCTCAGGCTACGAGTCCTCCACCCCACCAACCATCGTGTCTCCATCCACAGAAAACCAGACTGCCAGCTCCTTATCCCCTTCCTCCTCCGCAGTCCATCACACGTCCAGCCACAGCACGCTTACATCAAATTTTAACGAATGGTACGTCTAAAACGCTAAAACAAAACAACAACAACAAAACACAAACAGAAACAAACAAAAAAAAAAGCCCCAAGCGAGCAAACAAATATCCTATTTAAAGACTCCAAAATAATGGACACTCTGAAATCAAAATTTAAATGGGCAAACAAAAATAAAATGCTGCCAGTAGACCCAGGACTGAGTAAAATGAAGACTTAATTTTTATTTTTTTTTTCTCTGTTATTTCTCTCTCTCTTTTTTTTTTTTTTTTTAAAATTTTTTTTTCCTGATTGCTCTGCTCTGTTCCAAGGCTTGGTAGGCGAAGGGGTTAGTAGAATGCATAAGAAGACAAGGTTACCAGGGCAAATGCCAACTGTGTAGGGCTTTACTGGAAACCACTGATTAGAGATCGCCAACTGCATGTCTGCTCGGGCAGCGGCCTTCCCCCCCATCCCCTCTTGTAAATACAGAATTATTAGCTTCAAAAACAAAACAACAAAAAAAGTGTACTGTTTGATTTTGTAAATAGTTATATCGCAAGTTGAATAAGGGGATATGTGGATTTGTGGTCTTTGCATATATGTGGGGGGAGGGGCGGGCGGGCGGGAGCGGCGGCGGGGGGGAGGAGGAGGTGGGGGGGCAGAGGGAAGAGGTAGAAATTCAACTATTTGTACTGAATGGCAAGAATGTTCTAGTAAATGTGTATCAAAATGTGAATTACTTTGTATTATTACAGTCTAAACGTCGATCTAACAGAATATTATTGGTATTAATGTGCTTTTTTGTATAAAGTGCAACATTTCGTCCCAAAGTCCAGTCTAAGTAGTGCAGTAAAATGTTGTTACACGTCCTGTCAAGAAATTCGTATAGTGAAAGCCTGGATCTGCGTGTCAAACTGTTACATTTGTTTATGTAAAGTGATATTAAAAAAAAAAAAAAAAAGATATAAACTATATCTGTCCGTTGCTTTTGGCAAATACAAGAACATAATGTATATAAATCCTAATTTCCATATTTATCCGCATGTAAAGGTCCGGTTATACCTGTTACAAGATATTCAATATTTATGGCTAGAAGAATTGGTATGTAAAATTTAGTTTACAGAACTGTTTGGTAACATTTCGTACCTTATTAAAGATTCTTAAATCCCAAGAATTGTGGTAGGAATCCTTATTCACTAAGTCAACCTGCTGCAACTCCTACTAGCTTTAGGATATTAGAATAAAACTGTCCCACTTTTTCACTGCTTTCCATTATGTCATCACTAAAGCAGCGAAGGTGATATAAATGTGATAAATGAAAGGATCCCTGCTGGCATTACTATAGTGTGTAATTAGTATTTATATCAAAATTTATGAAACAAATTTTCGGCCGCAGTATAATTTAAATGACCTTTGCAGACATAGAATAACAACCATAAAAATAACAGAAATAGATTGCATATGCTACATAAATATTAATGTGGGGAATTGTTACACGAGAAGTGCTGCATTCCACTCCAACACTGTCCATGAATCTGCATAGACTGGGTCCCTAAATTAAATTAATTCGGATAACATATATTAGGAGATTTAAAACAGAGGAGATTTCAGTTGCTATTTTAATTTAAGGCATTTATGACCATAACTAATTCTTAGGCAGTGGATTCATTACTTTCCTTGGGCCTTTTACTCCAAGAAGTACAGCACTGTTTCACGAAGGCCGTTGTTGTTGTTGTGTGTATTTTTTATTTGTTTTTTCTTCTTTTTTTTTCTTTGCTGATATTCCTTAAAACGTGATGTTAATTTAAATCAATTACTTCTTATGTTATGTTATTATTATTACTATAATTTTGCTAGTGTTAATAGCTTTCTAAAAAAATAAATCTAGGGCATAAGAATTATTTTATGTAATTTGATTATCTTTCTATCTCTTTTATTTATTTCTCATTTACTTAAGAAATTCGTTCCATTGGCTGGAGTTGATACAGTAAATTTGTAAATGAGAAGACAATATAAAAAATCTAAATTACTTGTGCTTAATGACTGTAGCAGAACGCCTTTTCTCTAAATCAGATTGTCTTCCTTGCAGTTTAGTTTGATAGATTTGCAAGCTGTACTGCTTCCACTAACTTAGCTACGGTTGTTGGAACTGTTGGGCTTTGTTCCTGGTTGTAGCTTGCATGATCGCCCCATTAAGCAGACAACATATCAACAGACAACACAAATCATGAGGTTGGCTAAAGCTGCGAGGGCTTGTGATATGTCATAGAGTGAATTGCACAAACTGACCTTCCAGTAGACCAAGATGACACTTTAACAGCTTCTTTAAAGAAATATTATGTGTACAGCGAGTCAATAGCCATATTAACCGCTCTGGGGGCGGGGGTGCGGGGGAAGCCGCTCTCCCCTCATTTTCGTGCGGGCACTCGGCAGCCCCGGCGGTAACCCGCCCACAGCACAGCCCGCTGCCTCTCAGCAGCCCTCCGCAAGAATTTCTCTTTGTCCGTAATATTTGGGGGTCTCCCTCTGAGACTTTCCACTGCCCGAAAGCACAAGCCTCACCCCCCCACCCCTAAAAAAAAAAAAAAAAAAAAAAAAAAAAA